AGAGAGAGAGAGAGAGGGGGGGTCACAGAGAGAGTGAGTGAGCGCGGGGTGGGGTCACTGTGAGAGAGAGAGGGAGAGACAGTCGGGGGTGTGGCGTTCACATTCTGAGAGAGAGACAGTGGGGGCTGTTCACCGTGTGTGTGAGAGAGACAGCGGGGGGGTCACTTTGTGTGGGGTGCACTAGGGGGGTCTCAGTGTAAGACAAGGGACTGGGGGGTGCGGGATGGGATTCCACTGTGTAATACTCTGTGCAGTTTAATTATCTCTCTGTCCAATGTTATATGTGTACGGTTAATGTTTAACATCAGAGAGGGAGAGACTGAATAGATGATGTGGAAGTGCCAGTGTTAGACTGGGGTAGACTAGGTCAAAAATCACACAACACCAGGTTTATTTGAAGAGACAAGCTTTTGGAGTCTCGCTTTTTCTTCAGATATGTGAGAGAGGTAGCATCGATCACAGCTTTTACAAGCAAAAGATCAAAGGGCTGTGGAACTGATACGATGTTGAACAAGCCCAAGATGGCTGTTAAATCTTTTATCAGTTTGAAAGGATTAAAATGCAAATTCGCAAATTTCTTTCAAGTCAGTGCCCTGAGATAACTAAAACTTTTACAAGTATACTACAGGTGACATCTCAGGTCAGACAATGCACTTTAGATGTGAGGTCTTGTTTAGAAACTGGCTGTGCCTCAACTTGGGGTCAGACTGGTTTTATTTCTGAAGTAAGAATTTACAAAATGCTACATTGACTTCCCGGGAGCTGAGAAACTGCGCCATGTTCTTCACAGCCTTCAACACATTATCGATGACGATGAGAACCTCACCAAGATCTTCCCCATGGCTCCTCTTCTCGCCTTCAAACAACCGCCAAACCTTAAACAAACCATCGTTCGTAGCAAACTACACAGCCTTCAGGACAACATTGACCACAACCACCATACCACCCTGTCATGGCAACCTTTGCAAGATATGTTAGATCATCGACATGGACACTACCATCACACGCAGGAACACCACCCAGCACATACACGGCAGATACTCGTGTCTCAGCAACGTTGTCTATCTCAAACCCTGCAGCCAAGGATGCCCCAAGGCATGGTATATTGGTGAGACCATGCAGACGCTACGACAACAGATGAATGGTCATCGCCAGACAGGAACGTTCCCTCCCAGTCGGGGAACACTTCAGCGGTCAAGGACATTTGGCCTCGGATCTTCCGGTAAACATTGACTAAGGCGGACTTCGGGATGCGCAACGCACAGTCACCGAGCAGAGGCTGATAGCCAAGTTCTGTATGCATGAGGGCGGCCTCAACCGTGATCTTGGGTTCATGTTGCATTACAGGTGACCCCCACCACAGTATAAACTATCTCACACACGTACACTGTTTCACTCAAACACACTCTCACGCACTCACACAAACCCTCTCTCATACACTCTCAGACCCACACTCACTCTCTCCCTCCCACACGCGTGCATGCTCTTCCTCCTCCCCCCCCTCTCCCCACCCTGCCTCACTTACTCATGCACACATACATATAAATCTATGGGGTGAATTTGCAGATTTGTAATTGCAGATACATTCTATTTTGTTCAAAAAGCACACTTTGTGGACAGTCACTGTGGCATTTTGTAAATTCTTACTTTATAAATAAATCCAGTCTGACTCCAAGTTGGTGCACAGCCAGATTCCAAACAAGGATTCACACCTAAAATGCATTGTCTGACCTGAGATGTCATCTCTGGTTTACTAATAACACCTTTAGTTATCTTGGGGCAATGACATGAAAGAAATTCTGGGATTTGTATTTTAATCCTTAACTGATTAAAAATTTACAGCCATCTTTGGTTTGTTCAATACATTCGCATTAGTTCTATGACTCTTGACATTTTGATTATAAATTCTGTGTCCGATGCTACCCCTCTCACTAACACCTGAAAAAGGAGCGAGGCTCTGAAAGCTTGTGTTTTCAAATAAACCTGTTGGACTATAACCTGGTGTCGTGTGATTTTTGTCCTACTATCCATGAGATAGAGAGATATTGAATAAACTGTCTAATATCGGGGGGGAGGTGGAGGAGAAGAGAGATACCGAACAAACTGTCTGATATCGGGGGTGGGGG